GAAGGGGGGGGGGGGGGGGGACCTATGAAATACTCTTTGTAATACTTTAAGCAATAAAACAAAATTAAAAAAAAATACCTATCTATCAACAAGTGAATCTAAAAATCAAGTGAATAAAAATATGATGAACAGAATAAACTGGTGAATATAATAGAATCCAGGTCATGGAAAGGGAGTGGACTGACAATTCTCAGGGGGACAGGGGTGTGGGGGGGTGTGGGAAGAGACTGGACAAAAATCGAACGCCTATGGACGAGGACAATGGGGGGGGGGTATGGGTATAGGGAGGGGGGGAACCGGGGGGGGGGGAGCTATGGGGAGAAAAAAGAGGAACAACTGTAATAATCTGAACAATAAAGATTTATTTTTAAAAAAAGAACCTATGGGAAGGCAAGGAATGGAATGGTAGCTTGGTACTCAACTTGGCAGCAGTTTCTCCTACCTTTTGCTCAGGCCTTCTATCGACCACTGTGTAATGCTGTAATGGGGCCAGGGGAAGGATGAGGAAGAGAGGGGGAGAGAGAGGGAGAGAAAGAAAGAGAAGAAATGCAAAGCTAAAGTTTTCCCTTCCTTTATCTACTCTTTATCTTGCAATCTAGCTCTCTCCAGTTGGTTGAGTGCAAGCACTCCAAACCCAAAGCTAAACAGCATTGTTTAATGAAAACATGGGAGGCTGGTGGAAGAGGATAACATTGTAAGGTTGTCTACAGTACTGAGAGTGGACAAATCCTAAGCAGAGCGTAAAGGATAGGAAAACAGTCATTGCAAGATCCAACTTGGTGCTGAACAGAGCCTAAGTCTGATGGTTGAGACTGTCTGTACCAGCCTTGAGCCATCAGATTAATGATACATCAATACTTTTATTAAGATTTGGCTCAGTGTTGGCCTTTGGACTGGAGGCTCCCGGGTTCAATTTCAGTCAAGAGCATATGTCCGGGTTGCGGGTTCAATCCCCAGTCAGGGGCGTGTAGGAGGAAGCCAATCAATGATTCACTCTCATCATTTATGTTTCTATCTCTCTTTCCTCCTGCCTTCCTCTCTGAAATCAATAAAAATGTATTTTAAAAAGAGTATAGCTTAATTATTTCCCCTTTCTTTTTATATACTTTTAAAAGTGTGGTTGTTCAGATTTCTCATTTTATTCCTTAATATCTGGTTACATTTTTTTTTGCCTTCTTATACTACTGCTTTTGATTGATCTTTTTCTTTATTCATTTTCTAACATTTCACTAGCCTATTCAATTGTTATGATCTTTGATATATGAATAGTCAATATGAAACTCTACGATGACATTGTGAAAATAACTACATTTAACAGCATATTCTCTAAGTATACAAACAATGCACAAATTTCATAAAAGAGAAATAATGCTGGCCCCAAATTACCATTTATATTTATTTCCTATTCATGAACTCTCTTTCTGGAAGTATAAAAATAAAAATATGACTGATACTTACCCCACTAGACCTACATCAGCTATAAGTTTTAGATCAAGGTGAATTATTCGTCTCTGGCCTTTCAATGGTAAGAAATTTGTAAGGAATTTACCACCAAGACCTCCTTCAGCTACCAAAATTCTGTCTTGTTCTTTATTGAGTTCTCCTTAAAAAGAGAAATAAAGACACTTAGAACCAAGATTAGTAAGTGAAGCTAATCTACTAATAACATTTTTCTTTCAGAAATAGATACCAGAAATTTCTATTAAAAGCTTGACCCTGGCCTGGCTGGAGTGACTCACTAGCTGAGCATCGACCTGTGAAGTAGGAGGTTGTGATTCAATTCTCTCTCTCCTTCTCCTTTCCTCTCTGAAATCAATTAAAAAAAAAAAAAAGCTTGACCCTGGAAAATACTTTTGTATGCAGTTCAAAGAGATTAGTTTATGTTTTAAAAACAAGTTAAATACTCTCGTATCTTTAAAATAATCTGAAATCTAGCAGTTAATTTTGAACAGCCTTTACATAACATTTTAAAGTTCTTTCATAAATTAGCAGTTAATGTTTAAAAAAAAAATTCTGAAACTCAAGCGGTGCTATTCCCCACAGCTCCCAAACACAACTTTAGGATCTACAGTACACTTACCTATAATTTTACCATTTTCATCAGTTACTGAAATACCCACAGGTGCAGGAATTTCACAATCTTTTCCTTTGGAGCCTTTCAGTGCACTAACACTACATAAATAAACAAACAAACAAAAAATAAATAAATAAATAAATCTAATATAAAATAAGAAAACCCACAAAATTAAATAGCTTATGCTTCAAGCAAATATAATGGCCTATAAAGAAGACTGGCAACCAACTCTTCTGATGTAGATGTTAAATGGCCAAATATAAAGGAAAAATAAAATTATCCCTAATTATTTATTTGCATTTTAGACTATCATATCCCAATAAAAATATTAAATAATAATTTAAGTTACCAAGCTAACCACCAAAAGTCATTACAAATCATAATAAATTAATATCTTGAACACCTGAAATGTACACAAATAAACTAGAAAAAGAAAAATCAATTGAATAACAAAGTTTTTAAAAAACTGACCTCAACTGAGAGTATTTTAATTATAAGGGGTTCATCTAGCTGCTCATGAGAGAATAAATTGGTACAAACTTCTAACTAGAAAATTCACTTCTGAGAATTTATCCTAAAAGAACATAATTGAACAAACATGTAAACTACTATATATACATGAATGTGTGTTACATTGAGTATAACAGTAAAAAAATCAATAATTACCTAAATAGATGAATGACAAAATAATATTATTTCCAATACTATAATACTCTGCAGCCATAGTAAAAATAGCACAAAAAATTTAAGTGAAAAGAGGAGGTTGCAAAATATTGTCCTCTCGTTTTTGTACCCCCAAACTATCTACACACACACAAGATTACATTTGTGTAAACACACAGAAAAGTCAAGAAAAGGTTAGTACAAGTTATTTTCGAAATTATAGGTGACCTTTTATAAAACCTTTTTATTCCTGAACTCCATAAGTAGGTCAGAATTCCCAGACCCACACATGTGTAGGTTCTCTCATTCGTATGACTTGTCACGGTTATAATTTTTCATTTTTCAGGTGTTTGATTAATATCTGCTCTCCCATTACACTACAGTAACTTGCAGAAGGGAAGAGAACATATTAGTTTAGATCATCATTGTATCCTAGGCATCTAGTACAGTGATTGGTACATAGTGGAAACTCAATTAACATTAGTTGAATGAATGAATCAGGTTGACAGTAATGGATGAATTAGCAATATAGTAAAGAAAGACTTAAATATAACACTTCTCTTATTGGGATGTATGTTGCAATTTTTAGAAAGTAGAGGCAAGATTTAATTTCATTCTTATTTGTTACCATTGGTGAACTTTCTATTAAAATATTTTATTAAAAACATTGACACTTAAATTTCGGAATAACATTGGATAGTTTTTTAAATGGTTGAAATAGTATTTGATAATTTTCATAGTTGAGCAAGCATATTCCAGTTTACTGGGAGATGATTTTATGATGAACAAAAGTAGTCTGATTTTTAGTAGACATGTTATTAGATATATGAAATTAAAATCTGACTCAGTTATCTATATTTTGGAAGTAGTGTTTAAACCAAGACTTGAAAGGGGAATAGGACTTTGTCAGACAACAAGAAAGGAAAGGATCTGTTGGCAAGCTAAATATATATGTATATATCTATATTTATATGTGTGTATACACACACACACACACATATACTGGATTAGGAAGGAACAAGCTGTTTGGAGAAATAAATTATTTCTAGCATAACACTGGTACAAGTACGGTAGTGTGTTGTGAACTAAAGACACTGTAGTCCAGATCACGAAGGGACTGATATGCTCTGTTGGAAAGTTTGAAGATTACCTTAGACAGGGAACATTGAAGGATTTAAAGTAGGCAAGTGACATTAACAAGATGATGTTTTAGAAAAATCACTCTAGGAATAACTGGATAAAGAATGGATTGAAAGTGATGACTGAGACTGGGGACAGGAGACCAAATTGGAGAATATTGCCATATTTCATAAATAATGACTGTCTGAATTAAAGTCTGGCCTGTACCTATCTTTCCAGTCTCATCTTCCTCTATATTCTGAGTTTTCTGCATTCCAGCCACGCTGGCCTTCTTTCAGTGTCTTATACTGCTCCTTGTCTTCGATCACTGGGCCTTTGTTCATGTTACCTTTTCTGCAATGTTTTCTTCTCCCCTTCACCCAGCTGGTTCCTATTAATCCTTTAGATTTAAGCCTCTCTGTTCTAAAAATTCAACACACAATCCAGTAAGAAATATGTTCTATTTAAATCTCTCTTAACATTTAAACATTGTATACCATCTTTAAGTATACCACTGATCTAAACACTTTAAAATAACATTCTGTATTCAAAACTTTAATTACTGAATTCTAACAAATATAAGGCTCTCAAAATTTGTCCTATAAAATGGTCTCATAAAACAAAATGCTCAGAAGAAATTTAAAGGATTTCCCCAAAGATTCTCTTATAAGTAGGGGGTGCTGCATAGTTTGGGCAGGATAATGTGAGGTTGTTTTGTTGTTGGGAGTGTCTGTTATAGGGTGTTTAGTATCCCGGCCTCTATCCTTTACTTATATCCAGCCCCCAAGTAAGTGTCACATATCATCATCTGGTCCTATGACAAATAACATATCCAAACACTTCTGTGGGAAGAAAAAAAAAGAGACATAAAACCTAGCTGTTATACCAATACCTCCTATGGAATAACATAGTAAGATAGGCCTGAGGAATCATGGCCTACAATTTGATGGAAGCTTTAAGAATTTTTTTTCTTCATTTTCTTTATAACAAAAGAAAAAATCCTTCTCATATTTTGAGGCCAACATAGTATGTTCCACAGAAAATAACAACATTAATGAAAAATAAATGAAAGGTTTTGTCACAGAAAGAACGACACAGAAGCAAAGGGGAAAACATATAAGAGATATCAGTGAAACAGGTTCTAAATTTTCAGCACTGCCTGTAAGAAGCTGGCAGAACTACTGGTAGTGATGGGATGGAGTAGCTTGGCTGAGATTTGAGAAAGGTTTCCCAAAAGAAGAAAACAGTGGGAATTCACTTTTTGTTTCTACAGAGGAAGTGCAAACAAATATAAACAGACATTGGGAGAAGAAAAGGATAAAAAGTTTGAATGTCCCAAAACTTTTCTTAGTAACTATCTTGTATCTTTACTAGAGTTGAGACAAAAGAAGATTTCTGCTCAGTTACAGGATATAATTTACTTCAAATCACTAATTACAACTTTATCTTTTAATTTTTTTTCCTTTTGGGAGGGATTACTTTTATAAAATCAAAGTCATTCAATAAATACTCACCGACTGTTTGCTCCTTCTCCAGCCACAAACCGTTTCTGAGGATATTTGTCCTTAAGTTGTTTTAAAGTCATTTTTTTATGGGCTACCACCCAGACGTCACCACCTTTTCCGCCTTCTCCACCTAAGCGAGGGTAACCCATTCCACCACTTCCTCCCCTGGTGAAGAGTCTTAGGTTATCAATGAAGTTTCCATACTTAAAAAGAGAAGGAGAAAGAGAACATTTGTATACCAAATGTGCTTACCAATAAGAACTCCTGTCTAGGTATTTGTTGCCTCTAAAATGCCTGAAAAAATAAAAAGAGGCTTCCTGAATGCAAAATTTAAAGTCTTTTCTCAGTTCATCTCCTGTCTGACCTCCTCTTTCCATTTAACTCTTAAAACTTTTTTCCCCCCCCCAAATTATCAATTGTTGTCCCACCTATCCTCAAGGTCTCTGACACTGGTCCACTTTTCAAACTAGACTGTTTCCCCTGGGTGATTTCAGCCTGTACCAGTAACTATTACCTAGGTGAGATTTCTCTATGTCTATTGGACATCACTAAGATGTAAGCTTAATAGTCTAGACTCTGACACTGGTCCACTTTTCAAACTAGACTGTCTCCCCTGGGTGATTTCAACTTGTATCAGTAACTATTACCTAGGTGAGATATTCTCTATGTCTACTGGACATCATTAAGATGTAAGCTTAATAGTCTAGAGCAGTGGTCGGCAAACTCATTAGTCAACAGAGCCAAATATCAACAGTACAATGGTTGAAATTTCTTTTGAGAGCCAAATTTTTTAAACTTAAACTATTTAGGTAGGTACATTGTTATTAACTTAATTAGGGTACTCCTAAGGCTTAGGAAGAG